GCATGCTCATCCCCTCCTTCCTCTCTCTCGAGATATGAGATACAGACAGGTTAATACAGGGAGGTCTCGTTACGAGATAATGGCTATTAGAGCAAAGCATGCCACAGCCTTTTGCTTCTTTCAGTCAATTAAGTCAGTCAGCCAAGATCTACCATCATCTCTCTGCGAATTCAAATCTGATCCTGAAAAGATGCTTTTCCTGCTAAAATGTAAAAGATGCTTTTACATTTTACTGTAAAAGCAGCATATTTCTGAGATCCCAGACACATTAACCTAATGTTGACCTTATACATCAAATTAAAAAGCAGAAAATAAAGCCACGTTTCTGCTTTTCCCTCAAAATAATGTTTCCTGGAGAAAGCTATTTTATTTAAAGCAGCATTAATGAAGAGCTTTTTTTTTTGTGTAAGTGTCACATCTCCACACATCTTCCTGAACTGTCTCAGCTCTTCACTGGGCAGAACCCAACCATTGCAAACAGGGCCTGCCCTGCCTCCCGCCCCGATGTGTGCAAAGTGACTGCCTTTTGGTTACTTTTATCTCTTCAGATATCCCGTGAGGGGCCCTCAGCTCTGGAATTTATTCCCCACTTTGCTCAAAACAACCTCTTATAATCTTTGACCTTCTGCGTAAGCTGTGAGGCCCAAATCCAAGGACTTGTTTTGGGAAAGGCATACAAAAGGTTGGCATTTGTGGGTGTGGTAGGGAAAGCATGTTGTCAACAGCTGATTTAGCCCTTGGTTTATAATTTCCTCACATTGCGGCAGTTGTGCAGTATGGCAGTGTAAACTTAACCAGTAGAGACTTGAGCTTTCTTAAATGGTCATAAATTGAAAAACAAAAATGCATTGAAACCAACCGGTGTGTGAATGATTGTGCGTTTGTGAACAAAGTGACCTTGCAAACAAGTACATCATAAGTCACTTTTGCTAAATGGATCCTTCTAGCCTTGCAAATCATGCAAGTTGTGCATGTATTCTCAGAGTACCATCAACATACGCAAGCTAAACGGAATTGTTGGGACTGCTGATAAAGGAGTGAATAGCGCTCTAATTAGCTGAAAATATGTAAAATACAGCCTTGGCAATGATGCAACTGAAAGGCTGGCAGCAAAAATCTATTAAAACAGCACTACTATGCCATACTACTAAAGTTCTCATCTATCACCTTTAAATATTTTAATTTGAGATTCATTAAAAGCTGTCTCTGCTGCTCTTACTCTTTGGATATAAACAGATTTGTTAATATTTTATTTCGAACCCACCCACGAAGTTACATTCATTTACATAACTTAATGAAAGCTGCATTATTCATTGAACTTCTCATATAACATTTTTCATAAGACATTATTAAACAAGTGAAGCAAGCTGGTCTAGCAATGAGCCTTCTCTAAACTTGCTGCCAGTTATGTTTCCTTTCTCCTAATCTATCACTCTAATGGTTGCAACTAATAAACTTTTCGAATCTTTGCTGCTAATCTGTATATGTTTTGCATTGCATGCTGGATGTATAACTTGACAGAGAATTTACAATACAAACCACCTGGCAAACAAAACTATCTGCATTAACAACGGCTATCCAAACCTAGCCACCTTTTTTGTTATAATAGAGAAGACAACTACATGTGACTTAGTACATTTAAGCCATAAATAACATAACCCATTTGGGACTGGAGTGTATCCTACAAAGTAGTATGTCCCAAACACAGCATTTGTGACTACCCTTTATATTGCAGAAGCGTTACCAGAAATCAATAGAAGCATTACCAAGAATGAATAGATTGAACTTTAACTTATGCGAACGTACAGCAGAGACATAGTATTGCATAGAAGAGACTGTTCCAACAAAGATCTGTGTAACAATTACAAGGTAAAAACTTTAGGAATGGGTGGCTTGCTTAATTTGGGACCAATCCAAAAGTAGCTGGATTTTCAAGAATCCTCAGCAGTGCAGCTCTTTGAGATACACAGCATTATTTGAGTGTTTGTAATTCACAAAAAAAGGAACATTAAAGTGCAGACTTAGGGGTCCATTTTCATGCACATTAATTTTTAACTATACTGGGCCATACTCTTTCATCAGCACCCACATTGAAAACTAATGCCAACATGCAGAATTAACACAGCACAGCAGCATTCTGTTTTCTAAGCTAATTAGATACAGATCTATAAAACCAGTTTAATAAACTTCCCGTGCCCTTTAGGTAGGCAAGTGCTTCTTGAAAGCCAAGGTTGGAATATTTTACATATTAGGAAGCATTTTTCTTGGTACCCTTCTAAAACTCATTCTAAATCACTAACCAGATGAAAACATGAAAACACACAAACAATTAAATGGGGTAGAAAGGAAGGCAACTGTCTGTCAGTCTCATTTTGCAAGATCCAGGAAAAGACTCCTGTAGAAAAGACAAAACAAACAAAAAATAAAAAACATTAGAAAAGTGCAAAACCTTAATGTCCCTTCAATGGGTGTTTTAATGAACCAGAACAGAAAGAAATCCTTTCTTGTCTTGTCTGCTGAAAGTAATATGACTGTTTTTAAATTCTACTAGGACAAAATGAAATAAATTTGATTAAACAATTAAAAAAATCAAGCAACACCGTTTTATTTCCACTGAAACTATAGTGTTTGTTTGCAATTTTTTTCCTTGCTCATATAACCATTTTCAAGTCAGCATTACCTGTCCTAGCCTGATCTGGAAATACTAATGCCTTTCAACCAGGAACTGATTTACCCAGTAGCATTCCTCAATGTCAGTTCACACCAAAGTCATTCTTTGATGTCATTTTATCCAAGGATAGCTATAACTACATGCTGTTAACAAGAACCACACATCAAGCACTGCATGGAGGCTTCAGAAACTCTTAAGTGCTTGGCTGCTGCAGCCTTAGCCCATAGCTGCCCAGCACTGCTGGGTGGGTAGAGCCATGTAACCATGGTAGAGCTCACCTGGGGCTGGGCTGCACACCCACCCTGCCACATACAGCTGCTCGGAGAGATTAGCAGGGCTGTAAAACCTGCTCAAGAAGTAGGGCAAATATTTTAGCAATTAGCCCACACTGAGCCCTGCATTACTGCAGCTACACTGCTACCAGTTTTGGGAGTTGCTTGTTGAAAGCTAGCTCCTGGATGCCTAAATTACACAGCAGTGACAGACCATTGAACTCCAAGGATGAATTATATGGGGGCAGTGCCTAACATGGGTTATGCTGTCATGATTTACAACAGCTGAGGATGTGCCCCCAGATGTTCAGACAAAATCAAATTAATTGTATGATCCTTTTTTTCTCCAAACATAGAATCCTTGCGATTCTGAATGAAAAATATAAAAGGAAACAGGGAAATGTATGGAAGATAATAGTCTTATACCATTAAATAGGTATGTATTCTCCAGAGACCACTAGATTCTCATTCTTTATAAAAACAAAGCGTAAACTAAAATAATGAAAGACCATTCAAGACATTCCCACATATGAAGAACTTTAGTTGAGAATAATAAAGCATTTCTAAAATATTAGCTCCTATCAGGATCTGCAGGTTGTTGTCACATTAACAAGGACAACGTTAAGAATACCAAAGCAAGAGATTTACTGTTCTCTAGACTTCTGGATCATCTCCAAATTGGGATCAGGGTTTGCAACTTTCTACTACTACATTGGTGATAAATGGGTCTTAAGCTGAGATCATTGATCAAATGCCTGAAGAGCATAATTGTACAGGACACTGGCACAGTGAAAATTATTTAACATTCTAACCTAAATACTGCCAAGAAGACCTAGGCACAATCTAAAATGAATGTCTCTTTCATTTTAAGACTACAGCAGCTATGCTCATCTTTAAATGGAAGTCATAAATAAGGTCTTGTATGAGAAGTTTGTGTTTGAAGCTAGCATTTTAAAAACATATCAAATATATCATAGAAACATCTCCTAAAATAAACCCAAACCTCATAGGGGCAATCAAAAAGCTGCAGTGATTTTGATCAGCTTAACACCATCCATAATTTTGACCTTGGGAGACCATAATGAAAAAGTGAGCTACAGAAGCAAAAGGAAAAAAAATTACATGTTTCTAGAAGTGATCATGACACCAAATTACATGAGTTTACTTTGTAGATGTTTATAGAGCTACCCAATGTTGTTTGACTTTTGAAGGAAGACTAATCGATGTAGTAATGGGGCAGTGGGGGGGGGGGGGGGGGGCAGGAAGGCAGAAAAAACCTTATGGTTAAGTCAAAACAGGGGTCATGCCCAGGGCATTTTATCTGCCCTGCTTACACAGCCCTAGGGAATTGCATCTCAACAGTTGATTCCCTGTTAATCAATTCACATTAGTGCCTGCCTTTTAGTTTTCACTTTGCTGAATTCCAGGGAAGAAGTTCTTAAACCAAATGCACACTCTATCTCTGACCTACGCAGAACTGTTGCATTTTAACAAGAAATCATAGCAGATTTTATTTGCTCTAACAGCTGATAAGAGACACCTTTGTAAGTAAAGGCTCATGGACTGCAGACTCAACATAGAACAAGAGCCAGTGCTCTGTTTATACAGGTCAGCAGTAACACAGGAGGAGAGAACCTGCATGGAGTTTTTTTCTCCCTACCTGTTTTCTCCAGTTCCAGATAAACACTCGTGTTACGTGCTGTTCTTCTGCTTCCCTTTACTTCCTTATTTACTATGTCTCAACATTATGATAAAGAGACGCATAGCACTTACTGTCATATCACAGTGCTGAAACAGTTTACTGTGCACAAGTGAGAAGCACATGTGGGGCAAGAGGGTAGGGGAGAGGTGTGAGCATAAAAACAGCAAACAGCATATCCACAAAAGCAAGCCTGATTGATATTCAAACCCTTTAGACTCGTTTACCTGGCTAAGCTACCCTCTAGTACGTAGGCAGATCTTCATACAGAGGATCTTCAAAAATAAACTTTATTATCAAACTTAAAATTCACACATTAGACATGAGGTCTAGACACAAATAATACTGAAAACCTCAAACCATAATGATTTAGATAATTTGGATGATAGCTACTTGCCATTGTCCCAAATGCCTTTGAGAATATTTCTGAATGCATACACCATGGTGAAATGTCTTGTCAAACATGTATCTGGCCAGCTTGCAGTAAGATTTTTAAATAGGGGAAAACTTATTTCTATAGAAATAAAATTATCTAATTATGAATCAGCGACCCATAATTGTAGTGCTTGGGGAAAAAAAATCACAGCCTTTTGAAATACTTAGACATAAATAACTACTGTACATTTACAAGTTTAAATATTTAAAGGCCTTCGTTACAATAAAAAGTTACTATGTACATATGAGATGTTATACAGAAATCCAGCCGGAGGGAAGCGTTGAGCACTCAGATTTGGCCGCTGAAACCTATGAATTTGGCAGGCAGATTGTCCACAGGGTACACTATGGGGCCCGTTTTCATTGTAGGAGGTCCATTTAGCAGCTGCCAGTCACAGCTTCGCGCCAGCTCCACCGTAAATATTTTTAGAAGGACTTTTGCAAACTCTTTGCCTACGCAGCTCCTCAAGCCCCCACCAAAAGGAATGAAACTGAACCTAGAGGAGTCCTCCGGAGACGGAGACATGAAGCGGTCTGGGTTGAACTCGTCCTTGTCAGTAAAGAGATCGGCCACGTCGTGGGTATCACAGATACTGTAAATAACGTTCCAGCCTTTGGGGATCTGGTATCCCTACCAAAAGAAGAGAGAGGAGACATGAAGCACATTGTTTTGTTAAGGAAGCTGAAGATTCAGCATGGGACATGCAGGTGCACCTTCTGATTCCCCCCACTCACTAAGGCAGGTACCTACAGAAGCACATTCATACTTGGCAGTGCTACGAGGAGCTGAGCCCCAGCCCTACTTACATTCAGCTCAAGGGTCTTGAGTGCTATTCGGAATCCTCCAGGAACGGGAGGGCTCAGCCTGAGGGTCTCCTTGATAACACAGCCTGTGTACTTCAGCTGCTCCAAGACCTCCATGTCCAATTGCTTCTCTTGGTTGGGACCAGACAGTAACCCCTAGGTAGGAAGATGCTGCCATGACATTTATAGAACAGGCTCCGTGCACTGCAAGACAGCTGTCCCTCAGCTAATGGTATTTCCCTACCCTCCTATAAGTAGGGAACCTCCTATGTCAAGGGGAACCCATCCTGGGACACCTCTCTGAGGCACCTTCCTACTGCTTGCTCATGGGAAGTGGCTGTGGAAAAGACACTCACCTTTACTTGCAGCTCCTTCCTCACTTTCTGCAGAACATCATGGTGGAGCCCCAGGAAGGCGATCAGTGATGTGGCAGCACTGGCAGTGGTTTCATGGCCCCCAAACAGCAGCTCTGTGGCAGACTCCTTCAGCTCCTTACTCACAGGACAGGAGAGAGAAAATATGCCTTGAGGGTGGTATCCCCATTGGGCCCACTCCACCACCAATGCGGCTTGGTGATCTTAGGCTGGAGCGGGCACCCTGGAGCCAGAGTGGGAGGTGGTCCCCACAAGCACAACCCTACATCCCTCATCCAGCAGCCTGGCTGCATCCTCTGTCCCCAGGACTCTCGTGCACTACACAAGCTGCTTTATGACCTGGCAAAGGGACAGCAACTCCTGCTCTCCATTTTCAGTCCCAAAGATAAACACGCTGCTGACTGAAGGAGAGAAGCAGGGTGGGAAGAGATGGATCTGGATGGGGGGAACCTCACCTGCATATTGAGCTGCTCTCCGTTACCCTGTGTGTGCTCCATCAGCAGCTGCAGCGCGTCCTTGTAACCACTCTCAGGCTCCTTGCGGGCCATCTTGGCACGAATGTTCTCCTCAATCTTGGCATGGATGATGTTGCGTGCCCTCAAGCCCTGTGCAAGCAGGGGGAGAGTGAGCTGGGACTTGTGCCACCCCAGCAACTTACGCCATGCTGCCAACTTACACCACACCGCCATCCCTCCCTGCTGCCCTGGGAGCACCCCTAGCTGGCCTGGAGCCTCACCCGGTAGAGCCCACTGAAAGGCACGTCGATGGGGAGGGAGAAGAGGTTGCGGATCATCTCCTCGAAGGCCTCCACCAGCTGCTGCTCGCTGTCAGGGCCGGCCTGGCGGGGCTGGAAGCCCAGCAGGATGCGCATGGCGATGCGGAACATGAGGCGCTTCACCTCAGGGTACACCAGCAGGCAGGGCCCGGCGCCCAGCCACTGTGCCAGGCAGGCACTCACCTCCTCTTGGATGACGGGCACATAGTGCTGCAGGGCGTCCCGGGAGAAGGCCCGCATGATCACCTGCCCAGGGGACAAGGAGGAGAAAGAGGAGTAGAGGAAGGGGATACAGGCTCAGCCACCACATGCAGGACAGCTGCCCCGTTCCCAGCCCGCCCTTTGGGGCTATACCTTTTTGCGGTGTTTGTGCTGCCCATTGTGGAGGTTGGAGAGGCAGCCCGAGCCCAGGATGGTGCGCACCGAGGCGGGCCACTGCACGGAGACCAGGCGGTGCTCACCCAGCAGGATGTGCCGCACGTTCTCGGCGCCCATCACCCTCACCGTGGGCCGCCCGAAGAGATGAGTCTTGTAGATGAAGCCGTATTTCCTGCGCTTCATCTGCAGGAATTTCCGCCGCTGGACAGGGAAGGGAAGTAAGTAAATTGAAAAAAAATAAATAAGTTTTAAATAAATAAGTGGGGGTCAAGGGGGAGAGAAGCCAAAAAAAAAAAAAAAGAAAGCGAAGAATGAGCTCATCCACACCTGAGCTCAGAAGCCCGGCGCAGCCCTGCTCAGCCGCGTCCCTTGCAGGGAGAGGGGAAGCTGCCCACCTTACCTGCAGCACCATCTGCAACGTCTCCCCAAAGAAGGGGAGCCCCATGGTACCCGGGGGCAACGGCAGCGGGCAGCTGGGGTCGCGGCCGCTGGCGCAGTACAGGTCCCAGAGCCGGACGGCGGCCAGGAAGAGCAGCAGGGGCAGCAGGAAGGTGCACAGGGCGCTGGCGACCAGGGCGGAGAAGCCCATGGTGGGGCAGCGGGACAGTGAGCCCGGTCCGGTCCGGCCCGGCCCCCCGGGAGCTCCGAGTGTGCAGCCCGGGCTCTCCGCGGGCCGTCTTTTATACCCTTCCCAGGTTGCTGCCCACCCTACCTTACCATCCGATAAATTAGTTCACCCAAAGTTCATCTTTAATTGCGGATTGCGGCCTGGCTCCTCCCCCCGAAATCTTTAACCGTTTGCTTTGCGCGGCGCATCCCGCCCGCTGCAGACGGCCGCCGGGCAGACGGACGGGGTGCTGCGGGACCAACCGCCCCTTCGGATTTACCGCCGCGCTCCTTGGGGACCGGCAGCACCGAGGCGGAGACGTGCCCCGTCGCGGCAGCACAGAGCCTGCCGCCGGGAGGTACCCACCCTCGGGGCCCTCCCAGCCGCCGTGGGTCTCCGTCGCCGGCCCTCTCATCGCCCATCGGGACCCCTTGGTAGCCGGGCTGAGGGCTCCCCGGGCAGAGCCGCGTCGGCGGAGGTGGCTCCGCCGTCCTCCGGCTCACCTCGGAAGGCCCGGCTCGTGTTTCTGCACGGTCTCGGAAGAAGGAGCGGCGGGCAGCGCTCCGTCTCGGCCTCCCGATGCAGGTTCAACCGCGGGTCACCGACGGAAAGGGAGGTGAGCGCGGAAAGGGAACACCCTGCCCGCTGCGCTCGGCTCCGATCTCCGCTGCCCGCCCTCGCCCGGGGCTCGCCGGGGCTACCGCGGCCGGGGAGAGGCGCTCGGCATGGCCGTACCCGCCGGGCGGGCTGTGCTCCCCTCCGGCGCAGCCCCGGGGTTCGACGTGCGGGAGTAGCGCGGCCCCGGGGCTGCAGGAGCTGACCCCGATGGGCTCCGCTGGGGCCCGTGCAGAATAAGCTCCGAAGGACGCGGCCGCCGGGCATTGCGGGAATGCGGAGGGAAGGATAAGGCTGCGGACCGCTCCGCAGCTACCAATAAACTATTGTGATCGCTTCCCTTTTATCCCTCCATTTTCCTATCCTTTTTACTTTTGCTTTCTTACTCCTACCACGACCTCAATAAACGCTGGAAGTTGCGTGTGTGTGTGTTTGTGTCTACAGGGGTGGTGGCGCTGGCGAGGCGTCATTTTAAATTAGTACTTTTCTGACGCTCGGCGCGCCGGACGGGACCTTCCCTCCCCCCCATGTGGCCGCCCGCCCCTCGCAGCCCCTGCCCGGGCGGACCCTCGAGGCAGCCCTGCGGCGCTCGGCCCGGAGCGGCGGCCGCGCCCTGACCCGGCGCTCTCCCCTCGCCGGGCGCTGACCCGCTCGTGACCTACAACACGGACCGTGACATCTGCGTGAACCCGGCCGGCAACCGCGCCAAGTTCACTGTCTGTCAAAATAACGAGATACGGTGGCCTGAGCACCGATAATTGCCGCAGGAAGGCTTTATTATCTCCCCAGCTGTGTATTCCGCAGCCATCGGCTGGAAAAGAATCAAATGGTAAAGAGTGTAAGGGATAATTAAAAACATCTTGGAAGGAGGTCAAGAAATTAACAGCCTAATATGAACAAACTTTGATTACAAGTAACAATTATTACACTTCATTTGTAAATGCTCATGTTTATCTGAAAACAAAATCAGTTTCGGGTCTTTTTTTTTTAAAACTAGATCTACGTTACACGTTTCAGTGGGCGGCTGCGGGGCTCGTTAGCGCTCGGGGCAATTTTTAAGTGTGCTGATGGAGGAACCCCGGTGCTCCCATGGCTGGAGCCCACACATCCCTCATGTCCCCAGGTCACTGCCACACCGGCGGCCTCGCAGCAGTCACCCAGTTCCACCTGCAGCCACCAATTTCCTTCCGATAGCCAGGGAGACGCACTTCTCAGGACAAGGTCAGGAGGGGCAGAGGCTCTGGTTCACAATGGGGTCGAGCTGCCAACAGCACTTAACTTAGTCCCGTGGTTCAACCTCTTCCAGATCTGACTCGCCACATTTGGGAGCCACATTTTTGCCACAGGCAGTACTGCACCCCACTGCGTGCCTCAGCATAGATGTGTGATGGGGACCAGCCCAGGCAGGGTGGCTTTTAGCCTGGCACTGACACCAGACATTCTGGCACTCAAAATGTGCCACCTGAAAATGTGTCCCCAGCTCCTGGGCTCAGCCTGCAGTGCCCCAGAGCCACCAATCAGAGCTTACACATAGTAAGTGCTAGGGCAGGGCTGAGGCAGGGTCACGACTGCCCTGTGACAGCCACCATAGCACTATGCAGATGTCCTTCCACCATGTGCCAGCACCAGCAGGAGCACAGGATGTGCCCTCACTAAGCAGACCTGTTCAGAAATGAACATTTCCCAGACATTTATTCATGACAGGTCTGTGCCCCGTGCCAGGCTGCTCTCTGCATTCTGCAGGAACTCGGGATAAGGCTACATGTCAGGCCCCAGGCAGCAGTATGGCACTCAGGCACTGCACGCACAGCCACTGGGTCAACAAATGTCTCATTTGTGGTGGCTCTAATAGGAAGTGAAGGAAAGAGATGAAATATTTACAATACAAACCTCTTGACACAGTTATCCTACCTAGAGCTAATACTGTGAATTGGGCAGACCTAGCGTGTGTTTCCCTGCAGAGCCCTCATCTTCCCTTTCTTCCACCTCTAGAAAGCTGTGCTGTGCAGGACGGGGTGTGCAGGACGGGGTGTGCAGGATGCTCTTGCCTTTCCTTCACACACCTGTGAGAGAAAACCCTGCGGCAGGAATGGGGCTTTGCTGCTGGGAATGTGTGTGGGCCTGGGCTGGTGGGGCTGAGGCTCCCCTTGGTGCTCAGGGCTCTATGGGACCATTCCTAATGTACTGAGCATCAGAAAGGGGAAAAACAACAAGCCTTTGGGGCTTTGCTCTATAGTGCCTCAGCCATGACCACCGCCACCGGGCTGAGCTCAGCGTCCTGGCTCAGGCCTCACCGCCACGACGGGGCTGCAGGGGGTGGAAGTAGAGCTGCAGCCCATCAACGGGGTGCACGATGGGCACGGTCTGCATGGCGGGGAAGGTCGGCGTGGCCAGTTCCCAGCGGGCCGTGGTGACCAGCTCGATGGCCAGCAGCTTCAGGATGGCCTGCGCCAGCTCCTTGCCAATGCAGCTCCGTGCCCCGCCACCAAAAGGGATGTAGTGGAAGCGGCCAGCAGCCTCCGGCTGGGTGACACTGAAGCGGTCAGGATCAAAGCCACCTGGGGGGCTCTGGTAGATGGCAGCCGTCTCATGCGTGTCACGGATGCTGTACATCACGCTCCAGCCCTTGGGGATCTGGTAACCCTGTGAGAGGAATAGAGGGGAGAATTAGGGCCCAGCGGAAGCACCTGGGGGCAGCCCCCCTTCTCCCTTTTCTGCAGGCACTTACATCCAGCTCGAAGGTCTGCAGTGCAGTCCTGTACCCCCCAGAGACAGGCGGCAGTACCCGCAGCACCTCCTTGACCACGCAGTCCAGGTAGCGCAGGCGGCTCAGCTGCTCCAGGCTGATGTCCGAGGGGCAGTGGCAGCCCCGGGGATGGGGGCTGCTCAAGGGGTGTGTGGGCTCCAGCGGGGCTGGGAGATGGGGGAAGCAGCCACCCCCCAGCTCTGTCTCCTCAGTGGGGTCAGGGGGCTGGTTCTGGTCCTCATAAGCATTGCTGGCTGTGCTAAGGAGTTGCTGCTTGCCGTCCCTGTCTGCTGCTGGGCAGGGTGCCATGGGGCAGTTCTGCTGGTGTGGGTACAGCCCATGGGATGCCAGCTCCTGACGGATTTTTTCGGTTGCTGAGGGGTGCTTTAGCAGCAGGAGGATGAGGGAGGTGCTGGCACTGGCCGTGGTGAAAAAAGCAGCAAATATGAGCTCGATGGCTGACTCCTGGCAGGGAAGGAAAGTGACAAGTTTGAATGCCACTTTGAGCTTGTTGTGATAGGATTTTCACACTGTTCTCAGCTTTCACAGGTTTTGTCCCTGTGCAGAGAGCCCTACCTCTGCCTCCATTCTCTGCAGCCTGCACCCCCCAGTGCTGGCAGGGATCTCTATGTGACATATCCATGCTCATCCACCTCCACACAGAGCAGACATCCACCTGCCTAGGAACTGATGCCAAAACAGCTAAGCACACATCTCTTCCATTCTGGCTCTTCTCAGCTTCCTGCCCAAAATTTACAAACCTTAACAAGAATTTCAACATGCATTTTATCATAAAGGCTGAAGTTCACTTTAAGCATTATGTTTTTTAACCTGCATCAGCACTTTCCCCTGCCTCCCCTGCAGCTTTTGCCTCTCTGGCCAGCCAGGAGCAATGAGGTTGCAAGTTTATGTACAGATCACACTGGCAGCTAAAATGGGCTCCATTCAATCCATCTTGTTGTAACTGACCATTTGCTTGTGTGGGAGGGGACTCAGACCAATGCTCAGAAGCAGAAAGTTAAGAGTTACTGGAGCTAGATCTGGAGGGTGAGGCCAGAAGCACAGGGAAGGAAACCTGATGTCTTAAGTCTCCTGGAGCCAATTCTGGTAAGGTCAAGAGTAATGCAGCAAAGATTTGCAGCCATCACCAGCAACATAAGTTGTCTGGACTGCAGGCTTTTGCCAAAATGCAGCTCTCAAGGGCATCTTTCAGGTGAAATAACAGGTCCCTGCTGACCCCTGCACACCTCCTGCAGGCGGCAGCAGGAATCTTTACACCCACAAGACAGCAGACACAGATGAAAATAAATCTGTGAGTTCCACAGCTTGCAATTAAAAGCCAGGACATTATAATATAGCACAAGAAAATTAGAGCAGGCTCTGTATTTTGAAATAATAGCCTTTATGACTGCCTGCATCAGCCTCTGATGGTGCTGCCATGTAAATTGTGACACTGAGAAGCTTACTTTCTCTCCCTGCTTTTACAGTGCCAACACAACCGGTGACAGTGAGGCTGCATTCTCCCACAGCTGCCTCGGTGTGTTCCAGTGCTGCAGCTCAACTGGGAGCCAGACCACTGAGCCAGGAACAGCCAGCCCCAGGTCACAGCCATGTCACCCCA